CTAAACCACCCGCGTCGCCCCCAGACGAGGCGCAGCAGATGCGTCGCGGCGGTTCCCGGGTGGCTTTTCTGCGTGGAAGCCTTCCCTCGGGGTGGGGGTTCTGCCGGTGTGGTTTCCACGGATTTTTGCTGGCGGAACACTCCGGAGCGCGTTTCCCGGGCAGTCTCACCGTCCCGCCGCTCTTGTGCCGCTGCGCAGGTGCTGGTGGTGGGCTGCGGGAACTCGGAGCTGAGCGAGCAGATGTACGACCTGGGGCTGTGCGAAGACGTGGTGAACATCGACATCAGCGACGCCGTCGTCCGTCAGATGCGAGAGCGGAGCGGCAGCAAGAGGCCCAAGATGAGCTACCTGGTGATGGACGTGCTTCAGATGGACTTCCCTGATGGCCACTTCCAGGTGGTCCTGGACAAAGGCACGCTGGATGCCGTCCTCGCCGATGAGGAGGAGGCCACTCTAGCCAAGGTGGACAAGATGTTTGCTGAGATCAGCCGGGTCCTGCAGGTCGGAGGGCGTTACCTCTGCGTCTCCCTGGCTCAAGCCCACGTGCTGAAGAAAGCGGTGGAGTACTTCTCACAGGCAGGCTGGGTCGTGCGTGTCCATCAGGTGGCCGGCAGTGGGGACAAACAGCAGTTTGTCCTACCCGTCTTTGTCTACGTCATGACAAAGTTCAGGAAGATCCCCGGCTCGGCGTCGCAGATCCTGGAGATCTGCCCCGAGGAGCAGGACAAGCCTCTGCGGGTGGAGAGTGCGGAGCAGCTGGTGGCGGCGGTGAAGGACAGGCAGCATTACGCCCTGCTCTGCAGCCAGCTGAGCAAAACCCCCTGCGGGGAGCAGCTTTCCCTGGATCTGTGTGACAGGGAGAGCGGGAGGCCTCGCTACACGCTGCACGTGGTCGACAGTCCCTCGGTGAAACCTTCCCGGGACAATCACTTCGCCATCTTCATCAGTGAGTACAGCCTCTCCTGCCGGCGGTGCGACAGTGCTCGGGCCGGGAGCTGCAAACTGGCCAGCGGTCCTGGCCCTGCCGAAATGGGGGCTGGAGAGGGAAGTAACCCGCCTGTGCGGGGTTCGGTTGATGTTTTAGTCCTGGCTTTATGGTGGGACACGTATTTACCTGCTGGTGCAAGCAGAGAGCTAGCGCAGAGCGGGTCGTGAGGCTGCTGGACACCCCTTTCTTACAAGATGTGGCTTTTCCAGCCTCCCGCATGAGCCTGTCCAAAATAAGGAAGGTCCTGGCTCTCTCGATGGTTGCAGAGCACGGCTGTGGGTGTGCAGTGCTACCCCCTCATGATGTCTTGCCATTCCCTGCGGCTTCTCTCTTGAAGGCCAGGGTGGTTGCTGGGGGACCAGGACTGGCCCAGGCTGATGGCAGCCCCTTCTGCAGTCCCACAGGGCAGAGAAACCGAGTGGCTCTTTGGGACGGAGGAAGGACGGAGGCAGCTGGCCACGAGTGCGGGCTTTGGGCGCCTGGTCACCGTGGCCCTGCACAGGGAGCAGCACTATGAGGGCATGGCCGGCATCCAGGCGGAGCTGCTGGGGAAGGTGATGGAGCTGGCCCCGCCCGGCCTCCCTGCCCGGCAGCAGGCGAGACCCACTGCCCCGCGCCGGGCCTCCCTGCCCAGCAGCAGGTGAGCCCCACTGCCCAGCCCCCTCGCTCAGCTTCCCCAAAACCAGGGCCAGGCTGGCTCTCCACCAGCAGCGAGTCCCTCTTCTCCGAGGGAGATCGAGCTGCGGTGCGTGACCTGGCTGCTGCGGCGGGGAGGAGGCTGGCCTCGGTTGTAGGTCCTCTCAGTTTCCCTCTAGCTGGCTGCCTTTGCTTGGAGGCAGGATTTGGGGTGCCTGTGTGGCAGGGTTCAGTGCGAAGTCCCTGCCCTCCAAAACCCAGCATCCGCTGCGAAGTCCCTGCCCTCCAAAACCCAGCATCCGCTGTGAAGTCCTTGCCCTCCAAAACCCAGCATCCTCAGAGAACCACGCATCCCGAAACCCTAAGAGCATCTGGCCCCTTCTTAATCCCAGCTTTATCTTCTCCTGTCTCTTCTGTCTCCTTCCTGCCCCAACTCCCCAAACCTGAGCCTTTGCAAGAAGTCTCGGGGTGTTCGTTCACCGTACCCCAACGTACGTGTACAGGGCAGGGGGGGAACCTGGTGTCCCATGCACTGGTCCCCAGCTGCCCTGTGGCTGCCTACAGCACAACCTGCTGCTCCTGCAACGTGTCCACTCCGTCCCGCTGCGGTCAGGGCAGTGGGATTGCCAGGGCCTGGTCTGTTCCTGTAGCCTTTCCTTCTTTGCACCGGTCCCCGTCCTCTCTGCAGGTGCCCTTCCTGTCCGTCGGAGGGGACATCGGGGTGCGGACGGTGCAGCACCGCGACACCAGCACCCTGAGCGGGGAGTACGTCGTGGAGGACGTGAAGGGGGACGGCACCTGCTACTTCCGCCGCCTCATCTTCCTCCAACGTGGTGCAGTCGGAGGCTCGGCTCCTGGCCCCTGCGCCTCTCCCAGGTACGTGGGGCAGGTGGGGAAGGCGCAGGGGCCAAGGGTGACTTTTTGGCGTAGCAGAGAGTGACATTGATACAGGAGGAGGATAAAAGTCCCACTGGGACCTGCCTGCCTTGTCCTGGAGTGACTCTGGAAGCGTTTTTATCCCCTGCTGTCTGCCTCATGGGTGGCACAGGGGCTGGGGGTGGCTAGTCCCCAGAAAGCACCCCTGTCTCCCACCTTGCCTTACCAGCTGATGCCTCCTGTCGTTCAGGCCAGAAGAAACGGCGGAAGGACAAGAAGAAACCCAGCGCTGCTGAGCCACCTGCAGCCAGCCACAAGAGCTACCGACAAGAGCTACCTGTGCTGTGAGCACCACAAAGCCATGGTCGCGGGGCTCTGCCTGCTGGGGGGCCCCGATCCCCTCCCAGGTGACGAGGCTGGCAGTGGGAGGCCGTGCTGGGGGCAGGTGCCTGTGTGTCCCCATGCCCCAGCTCCTTGGGGAAGGGCTTTCCTGGCTGAGGTGCCCCATATGCCCTTCCCGAAGTGGTCTGGGGCTGGCGGGTGGGCCGGGCAGTGGGAGCGTGGCCATGCTGGTGGCTCACTGGGTCCTCTCCATTGGCAGGAGCCCTGCTGGCAGTGCTGGTGGTGGGGCTCGGGGTGGAGATCGACCCCTCCATGCTGGAGGTGGCCACGCGCTGGTTTGGCTTCGCCCAGGGCAACCGGATGCGGGTGCACGTCTCCGATGGCCTGGACTACGTAGCAAAGCTGGCGGCTGAAGGTACAATGTCGTGGGGCATCCTGGGCGCCCCGTTGAGCCCAGTGGGTGACATGGTGGGGATCGGAGTCCTGGGCTGCTTTCACCCTTTGCTTCCTGTCCCTGCCCATCTCCTGCTGTGTGTCACAAGCTCCAGCCTCACCAGGTCTCTGCAGCTCACAGGCGTCTCCTTGCCGACGTGTGCAGGGGACCTTGGATTTGCTGCCTTCCCCAGTGCCAAGGGCTGCTGCCCTGGGTTTCATTTGAAAAGAGAAACCCCAGGAGAGCGAAGCAGCCATAAAGTGGCAGAGAGGATGTCTTGACCACCCCATTCGTTGCCTTCCCACCGTGCATGGCTCTTCTCTCTCCTGTGGGACAACAAGTCTCCGCGCTCCCTCCCGCAGCCCCGGCCCAGTACGATGCCATCATGTTCGATGTGGACAGCAAAGACCTCACGGTGGGGATGAGCTGCCCACCCCCAGCCTTCGTGGAAAAGGCCTTTTTGCAGAAAGTTAAAACCATCCTCAAGCCAGAAGGTAGGAGGGGAGATCCGGCCGTCTTCCTGTGGCCAGGCTGGTCGATCCTATGCAGGGTTCGAGTAATGGGGCTGTGCTGTCGTTTCTCATCCCGGAGAACAGCGGCCGCTGCCAGGACTGTTGCGTGGCATCCACCGCTCCTGATGGGTCCCAGATCCGGGTGTTTCTGTGGGTGTTGTGACAGCAGGGAGCAGGGTGGAGCAGGTGGCCCGCGGTGCTGCTGGGTCCAGCAGGCTGAGACATCCCGAGGGGGCCAAGAAAGGTTGCATGAAGGCAGGAGGTGTAGGTGGTACCTGGGAACGGGTCGCGTGGCCACCCACGACCCGTGTGATGGTAGGGATGTGGAGCTGAGCCAAGGGCAGCGGGGGAGGACGCCGGTACTCCTTGTGCTGCCATGGAGGAGACGTTTGCACCAGGGTGGCACCGATTCGGCTGCGTTCCCGGAGAGGCAGGGAGCAGGGGGGGAAACACCAGCTGGTCTGAACTCCCATCCCTCTCACCCTGCCGCAGGAGTCTTCGTGCTCAACTTGGTGTGCCGTGACGCCCGGCTGAAGGAGTCTGTCCTGGCCACCCTCGGGGAGGTCTTCCCGCTGCTCTACGCGCGCCGTATTGACGGGGAGGTCAACGAGATCCTGTTCTGCCAGCCCAGCCCTGAGGGTCGGCAGGACCCCACCGAGCTGGGGGCACGTGCCCGGGTGCTGGAGAGGTCCCTGCGGCAGCCTGGGCGCCCCTGGGACAGCTCGTATGTGCTGGCAGACATGCTGCAGGCCGTCGAGATCCTTTGACGGGGGCCTTGATGCTCCTTGAGCGAGAGAGGTGTCCCCATGTGGGTGCTGCGGCCCCGCAGTGGAGGGGTGCCCGTGGCTGGGATTGCTGACCCTGGGGGGGCTGGTGGAGGCCGGGGTCTGCCTGAAGGACTGGACTGGTGCGGAGGGGTGGTCCCTGCAGCCTGGCTTCCGGGGACGGGGCCTGGGGTTGTGAGGGGTTGGGCAGCGATGGGGTGGTGAGGAGGGGAAGGTGCTGCGGGTCTGGCAGGACTGCGTGTTTGGCTCTTTCTCTATTGCTTTCCTGTTGTGGGACAAACATGGCTCTGACCATCTCCAGCAACGCTTCTTCTCTCCGATGCTGGCTCTTCCTGCATCTCCAGCACCCCTGGTCACTGCGGTCTGCGCAGAGCTCCAGCCTTGCCCCAAGCCTGGTCGTGGATGCGCTTGTGTGGGCCGAGGGCTGTGAAAATAAAGTGCTCAGGGCTGCTCCGAGGCCTGCAGTGCTTTGCTAGGCTGATTTCTGGAGTGCCCAGCACCCCTGGAAAAGGTATGGTCACCTCCACTCCTCAAGGGCATGTCCTGGGGGCAGGCAGCTGCCCTTTGTCCCCCACTGCCTCCTCCCACTCGCCTTCCCCAGACTGGACCCCACCATGTGCCTGCCCCCTGTTCTGCGTCTCTCCAGCCATCGCCACTGTGAGCTGGGACCTGTAACCCCCTGGGCCCCCAACGCTGCTTCTCCCAGCCCTGTGCTCGGGCCCCTGGGCACACCAACCTGCTCACCCAGCTGGCGCAGGTCAGCCCTCCTGCAGAATGCAAGGGCAGCAGGAAAATACCCATCGGGGTGTTCCCACGGCACCTCATTCCTGCCGAGGCGGCTTAGTTTGTCTCTTCTGAAGGTTTCAAAGCCCAGTTCCTGCCTGTGAGGTTTAGCTGAAGGGCTGACCTGTGAGTCCTGGTTGGTTACAGAGCAGCTGACCCACCAGTGCTCCCTCATTCATCAGAATTCATTGAGGGGGTCAGGGGGGCTTTCCTTTCTCCCCTGCAACAGCTGGTACCAAAATGGGTTTGAGACATAGTACTAAAATGACTGGCGTTCAGACACTGGGGCACGTTGGCAATCCAAGGGACAACCTGTTAGGCACCACGATGCTTCACCACTGACCCCACACCCTTGCCCCATGCTCCCTTCTGCTGCTGGCACATTGAGCGAGGACATCGTTTGTCAGTTCCCCAGCCACCCTTCCACAGCCCAGGAGTGACAACGACCCACCAGAAGCAGCTCCAGGCACGATCTGATCGGCGCGGAGGCAACAGCAGTCACATCTCAGCATCGCTGCCGGAGCCATGGTGCTGGCTGTTTAGCTCGTGTGCCTGCCGGTGCCTCTCGCCGGGCAGGCTCCCCGCCGGCTGTCCTGTCCTGCCAGGGTGTTGGTGGGCTGCCACTCGTTGCCCTGTCCTTCCTCAGCTCTCCTGCACCTGCGGAAAATCCAGTTTTGTTTAGAAAGCCGAGTGAGAGGGTGCATGAGCTAGAGGGTGTGCAGTTCCCCAGCCTGGTGGGGGCCATGGAAAGAGCGCCGCAAGGGCTCTCACCCCCCGAACCGGTGGGGACCACAGCCACCATGCCGATGCAGGAGGCGGGGGGCTGTTGATGCCTCGGAGGCACTACGGCAGCTGTGCCAAGAGCAAGCATATCCCTCCAATCAGTGGCTGTCTCGCTGTATTTTTAATTTTAATTTGCCAGCAGGATCTGCTTTGGAAACTGTTCTTTTCGGATCTTTTCTCAGATGCTCCCTGCCTTATTCCCCTTCACACAGAGGGACAAACCGTTGCCCTACTTTCTCTCTAGTGGTTGGCCCACTTCTAGGCAGAGGGAGCAGATGCTTTTTTTAAAGAAGTGCTGGTGATGGTTCCCAGGTGCTGGGGAGCAGAGCTGGCCTGCTCCCTGCCTCAGATAAAGGAAGGCAGCCTGGGCACGTGCCTGTGGTATGTTGCTCACCACCTGGTTGCTCCTCTGTGCCGTGGCTTGTTCGGGGCAGCTCATGGTTGCTGGTCAATGGGAGAGACGAGGCTGGAGGTCGAGCTGGGTGGAAGTCTGCCTGCCCCCATGCAGTTAGTTTCTAAAGGTCCTCTGTGGTGAGGACTTTTCTGAAAGGTGTCTATTATCCATCCATCTTAGCAATGACAACTTTCTCAACTGGATCAGCAGTGCTGCATTTAGTCTATTTTTAACTTAGTTTTCAATTCTCAACATAATTCCAATGACATAGGTTTGTGTCACCATCTCCTTTCTTCCCCAGGAGCTCATACAAAGGCTGTGTTCATCCCTCCATTGCCCAGTTCTGCCTTTCTGTTGTGCTTCCTAATGGCTGGATGATGCCACATCCTGGTGGAAAACCAAAAGCCATCTATTAGAAACAACGTAAGGATGAGATCTCAGTTCATTGCAGCTGTCCTTGCAGCTACTGACAGCCCTGCATGTTTGGTCTGGAAACACATTTCAGCTGGAAAATAGGCAAATTCACGAGTGCTGCAAATACCTGAAATCCGAGGCTGGTAAAACGCTCCGAGGCTGGAATAATTGATGTGTAGTAAATATTTATCTCCTGGCAGCCAAAACATGCAGCTAAAACGTGTATGTTTGGCAACTGTGTTTCTGCTGAGTGTTTTGGCAATATACTCGTGTTTACATCCCTTACTCCTCGCTTCCTTCCTTCACAGCGTAGGCTCGCTGCAAGCGGCGGGATGGAAACAAGCGCTGCCGTCACTTAGCAACCTCCGCTGGCTTTGAGATGTTGACTTTATTCCATTCTGGATTTCCCAGCACAAAAAGATATGGCCGCGTAACTCATCACTAGCTGGGGATGCTCTGGTCTGGTGCAGCCTGGATCCCTCTCGGAGCATCACATACGTGTCCTGCCGCCGCTCCAGCGAGCGAGGCAGTGGGAGTTGGTGGAGTTTGTGATCCAGAGCAGTGGGGATGGCTTGGCCTGGGGTAACTCTGTGGCCGGCCAGGCAGCTGGCAGGACAGTGATGCTACGAGGCAGGCAGCAGTGGGGTGCCCCACGTATACCCCATATGGTGTAACCTCCTTCGGTGTCACAGCTCAGATCCCGGCTCTGCAGAAGGACTGGAAGAGGCTGGGCTCTCGGGAAGACGGTGGAGGTGGATGGGGGACATGCTGTCACCAGCTGAAAGTACATCAAGCAGCTGGAAGAGATTTTGCAGTAATAAAAGCTGCAGGGACTGAGTGCGAAGGCTGATTCCCTCCAGCTGGGAAGAGCTCTGCCGGGGTGAGCCTGGCCCCGCTGACTGGGGATGCTGCTGCTGCCCGGGCATGGCAGCGTCACTGCACAGTAAGGGCTGCAACAGCCACGTCCCGGAGGGTAGAAGCGCCCGGGAAGTGATTTTTCCATGAATTCTTCTTTTGGGGGAAGCACTTGGCTTGTCTGACTTTGTGACCAAGGAAGCAGGCGTGCTGCCAGGGCTGCAGTGAGGGAGTGCATCTCTTTCCTGCAGTGCTCAGGGCTGCAGGGAAACATCTCTGCGGGCTACATTGCAGCACGGTGGCCTCTTTCTACCCAGCATTTGGATGCACCCGACCAAAGGATGCAGCTGGAGGTGGCAGGGCAGGAGAGAGGCCACCACGCCAGACGGGGCAGGGCCTGAGGTGTCACTGTCCTGCAGGCTGTGAGTCACCAATGCCACGGGCTGCAGGGGAGAGGCAGAAAGCTCCTCCTTATGCTGGCAAATGCTGCAGCCGATACATCTCATCACAGCTCTGCAGCCACCCGGCTTGCTTTCGTTAGCTTTAATTCTATTGCAGCTTCAAGGTCTGAGCTCTCCCGCTGGCAGATATGCGGGGTCATGCCAGCACTGCAGAGCCAGGCGCTGCTGAGAATCCGGGAGCTCCCCTGTGCTGGGGCTCCGTGCCCACACCTCCTTCAGCTGCCTGAAAGCTCTGCAGGACTCCGGGTTTGTGTCTGAAACAAGCAGGAGGTGGGGAAGGTCCCTGGGGAGAAGACGACCGTGTGTGAAGGAGCCTGGCTCTTCTAAATGCTTCCCTGGGGGGGGGGAGGACACAGTCTCGACTGTGCTCTGCTCCCCTCGGGGTCCTGCCTGCTCTCCTGGCAGGGAGGCATGCCTGGCTCTTCACTGCAGGCATCTGCAAATGTATTTTATATATAACTCGTTTTTCATGAAGGGAATTGTACCAGTGTGCATTTATAAAGCAGCCTGGGGACCTGATCCAAATGTCCTCAGTCTTAACGTCACGCTGCCTGGTTAGGAATTGTCTGTGGGTAAGTTTATGGGCTCAAATGCTACGGCTGCACCCTGAAACCAGCCTATTTTTGCCACCTATTTTTGCCATCTATCTTTCTGGAACTCAGGGCAGGACAAACTTGCTATCTGTAGGCTTGATCTGAAATATGCTGGAGGCTTCGGCAGGGCTGGAGGCCCCAGGCAGGCTGTGCTGGAGCTGGTGACAGCTGGAAGGGAGCTGACGGGGACAGCAGTGCCTGGGGGCCTGGCCTGTCACCCTGCGGAGCAGGGCACCCTTCCCGCTGTGCTAGCGAGGGGTGGTCAGCGAAGGTCTGCTCTCCTTGTCGAGCCTGGCACGTGGCAAAAGGAAACGATAAATACCGAGGGGCACAACTGAGTGCAGGGTAAAAATAGAGCGTGTTTGGCTGGCTCACCAGTGAGCAACGCAGCTCTGCGCTGCCGCTGTGCTCTTGGAGATTGCACCCGGTGCACTCTGGGAAAATGGTTTCTTGCATGGCCCTCTGACACTGGTTTGGGTCTTTTTTTTCAGGGTTAGTCATTACAAAAAGCTTTGCAATGGTTTCTGCTAGTACTGCCCCCGTTTCCTTTAATTTAGCCACTCTGAATCTCGATAAAGCCAGGCTGGGCTCTGCACAGGGGTTTGGAGCAAGCTGTCTGGACAAGCCAGCTAGAAAAAGCAAGGACCTGAAGATATGCTTGGGTGCCCTTCCTCTCTTCTCTGCGCTCTTGGAGCTGTG